CTGCTCCCCAAAGGGTCCCAAATCCACGCAGGCAAACAAAACAGATCACAAATGGAGCTACAAGACAAAGCGATTTGGGGAAAAAGAGAAAAAAAAGAATGAATACACGCAATCAATTTAATTAGTGAGACAAGAAACAGCCCATGAGATGCATGAATATCACGGCTTGATGATGCAGAACAGTAGCCAAAAGGGGCTTGCTTCTTAGATTAAAGTGTTTGTTTTGTGAACGCTAAAGCAAATTTGGGAAGGGTTTAGAAAGGCAGTCCCTGTTTGTTCATTGGCTTTATGAAAAGTGGAAAGTGTTTAGCTAATTTGTGATACACGTTCCCCAGTCCGCTCGTGTCGTTGCATCTTTTTTTTCCAAGAAAACCTGCATTTAACGTCAGCGGAGGTCAGGTGAGAGACTCCTACGAGGAGAATTGGAGATTTAGGAGTCAATAAAAATCACAGGGGAGCTCCGCTACGAATTCAATCTAAAGCTAAACAAAATGTCACATATCTATAAAAAAAAAAAAAGAATCAGAGTACGGTTGCAACTGACATGTTATTAATGGGATTACGTCTCTAACGGTTTTGGTCGAGTTCATTCCGAAAAACACGGAAAAACATATTTGACAAAAAAACGTAACACAATTTAATCACCCTGTTGTCAAAGAGTCCTGAGGTTCCAGATCGTACACCGTAACGGTCCTCGGGGGAACAAACCTAAACTGCAGAAAATCTACAGTCAATTATTCCACATCTGCACCACAACAAAGTGAAAGCGGCATACGGTGATGCGTTTGAAACACAGAACTGAACGGGATCTGATGGGTCCCACTGAGAAAGCAGAGAAAAGATCACCCACAAGAACCTGAACAGAGCATTTAATAAAATTATCAATCGTAACGGAGACACCGCATCCATTAGAAGACTAAATGTAAAACGGGTTTCAGGATGAACAGTTTATTTGATTCTTCTTTTCAGTTTCACAACAAGTAAATTGCAAATGGACCACTTATAAAGCACCTTTCTATCTAGTAAAGATACACAAAGTACTTTACACGATCTGTGCCCTCATTTACCTCCACATAGACCTCTATTAGATCTCTACAAAGATGATCTGACTCTGTACAGACTAATCAGGGCTTTAGATCACATTCATACACCAATGGGACACACATTGGTGGCAATGATGGGTTCAGTGTATTGTCCATGGACACTTAAGCATGTGACTGCTGGTGGAATCGAACCCTCAACTCTCCCAATGGAGGACGACCGCTCTAGCCACTCAGCCACAGCTGCCCCGAGTACTCAACAAGAGTACAGGCGCACTGTACACCCGTTGACAATCTATTACGCAGCGATCTATAGCAATGGCCTGGACAAGCAAAGACCTTGTATAACCTTTGACCTTGATTTGCAACTTTAACCATAGAGTTGCGCGGAGGAAAAGTATGTGCAAAAAGTTGTGAATCGGTGGTACACATTTCTATGAAATTTTGATAAATTATCTTGAGTAGATCAGAAGTTATGGGTGGGACAAGCAGAAACCTTGTTTTAAAGTTGACCTTGATCTTGAAGCGGGCATGATGGAAGTGTATGCAAACCACTGTCTAGTGATGATGCATAAGTGTATGAAGTTTCATTATATAATCTTTAGCGGCTCACTAGTTATAGCCTGGAAAAGCAAAGACCTTGTATACAAATTGACCTTGATTTGTGACCTTGTTCTAGAAACAGGTATGATGAAGAGAGTATCCAAACCACTGAAAAGTGATGATACATAAGTGTATGAAGTTCCATTAAATAATCTTGAGTGGATTGCAGGTTATGGTCCGGAAAAGCAAAGAGCTTTTATACAACTTGATCTTGATTTGTGACCTTGATCAGGAAGCGGTCACGATGGTAAGTGTATCTAAACCACTGCCACATCACAGTGATGATGCATAAGTGTATGAAGTTCCATTAAATAATCTTGAGTAGATAAGTTATGGCCTGGAAAAGCAAAGACCATGTATATAACTTGACCTTGATCTTAGAGCTGGGGTGATGAAAACTGTACGCTGCATTCCATCTAGTGGTGATGCATAAGTGTATGAAGTTTCGTTAACTTGTCTTGAGAGAACCAGAAGTCATTGGCAGGACTAGAGAAAGTTTAGGGACAGATGGAGGCTATACCGTAATACGTATGTTCAGTGTTTGTTCGTTGGAACATAAAAGTACACCAAAAAGCACACGCTCTGAATATGTTTTAAGGATGTTAGCTAGTACCTCAACAAACTTTACCTCAGTATCTATAAAACTGATAGATCTGTTGCCAATTTCATTTTGGCTAATGTCAGTTGTCTATTGTTGTCTGTACTTTATATGTTCTGTCTGGAGCAGGTCCCTCTTGTAAATGAGTCCCCGTGGCTCAATGAGGCCGGCCTGTATAAATAAAGGTTGAATGAATGAATGAACTGGAGACGAATTTAATCACCAATCAGTTGGGGAAAAAAAAACACACATCCAATGAATACTTTCTGTAAGATTCATCAAAAAGTGTCTGGTAATTTACAAGATAATTTGCTCACAGACCCACGGAGACAGACAAAACCATTGTCGCCCTGACATGACGGGAGATAAAAGCATAAAACAGTAACATATGGTTTTTACCATTTACTGTCTGTTGTTGCAGCTATCAGGAAATGGAATTTGAAAATCTCCCATTATCCACTATGAAAACTTAATCCAATGAAAACAGCCAGAGAGGCTTTTATCCACCATCAGTTTAAAGCCACAACGATTTGCACCTATTTTCTGATTGCTACCCTTTTACCTCCACGAGCCTGTTGTGTTCACCGCCCGTGACAAATTTACTTCAAAGGAAGCCTCCATCATGACCCATTTTTTCCGTGTCCACCAACAGCTGCAATTCTGTCCAATATGGCACAAAGCTGGAGTTTTCCCACGAGTCCCTGAGCAGCAAAAGCTGCTAAAGCAAACTGAGGAGAACCGGCAGGCAGATTTGGAGCTAATCACCTGAAATGTTGCCGACGTTGTCCATTTGATGATTATATGGACGTTGCTATGAACGAACTGATTAAACACGTGACAGAAGGACAGTAAAAGAAACGTATTGACCGAAGCACTTTGCTTTTCATAGGCAGATGTTAGAAATGAGTCAGGGAGCTCTGCTTTTAGCACTCCTTATGAAAGCCCAAGGTCCATTCACAAGAAAAAGAGGAAACTAAGAACGCAACCAGACTGAAAGTCTTCTGTAAAACTCTGGTTGAAATAGATTAAATTGCATGAGGGGAATTACATTTGAGAGGAAAGTTGGGCTTTAAATCAAACAAAACTCAACTCCCCTCTACTACACTTGGGGGGAAGAAATAATATTTGATGTTTGTGAGAGAAAAGGATGCTACAAAGTTATGAAAAAGTCTTCACACAAACTGAAAAAATATAAAACCATAACCGTTTATTGTTGTCGCTGTTGTCCATTGTTGTCATCATTCTTTGTTGAAATCAGGTCTCTCTTGTAAATGAGTCCTTGAGGCTCAATGGGATTTACCTGTCTAAATAAAGGTTGAATGAATTGTCATCATCAGGCCATGTAGGTAACAGATCCAAGAGATAAACCCAGACCTACCTCTACCCAGCAACAACCTCAAGCACCCTTTGGAGACCCTGAGGTGTTCCCATACCAGAGAAGATACACAATCCCTCCAACAAGTTCTGGGTCAGCCCCATATTCTCTTCCCAGTGTGACACATCGGGGAAAACCTAATGGAGGTAAACCCAGACCCCCCTCTACCCAGCGACAACATCCAGTTTCCTTTGGAGGCCCCAAGGTGTTCCCCAGACCAGAGAAGATACACAATCCCTCCAGCAAGTTCTGGGTCAGTCCCGTGGTCTCTTCCCAGTGGGAAATGTCTGGAAAACCTCCATATGGAGGCGTCTTACTCAGTTGAACCCCCTCAACTGACTCCTTTTGTTGCAGAGGAGCAGCATTTCTACAATCTCCTAACCTTATCTTTAAAGCTGAGTCTGGCCACCCTACAAGGCAAGCTCAGACTGATTGCTTGGATCAAAGATCATACACAAGAATGCAGGCATAGAATGTAGGTTGGAACATAGACAGACCAGTAAATCCAGAACTTTGCCTTTCGACTCAACTCGTTCTTCACCACAGCCAATCAAAGCAACGCCTTCATTAATCAGGACAAGATCCCAATCCATTGATCCATTTCCTGCTTCATCCTACCATCACTCAGGAACAAGACGACCAGATACCTGAACTCCTCCACCTGAGGTAACGACTTCCCCCCGACCTTGAGGGGACATTCCACCATTTTCTAGGCACCAGAAATATTGACTTCTTTATCGAGTTAAAACTAGGGTTGAACAATGCTTGGCAAATGTGCTAATATGCAATAACAATGGTGAATATGGCTTACTCCTTTCTTCCCGTTAAATCACGATTTTAAGACTACAACAGAATCAAGGCCACCTGATTGGACACATGTATGATTGGAATGCAGATAATGAACCATTACAAAATAAAACCAGCCAAGTCCATGTTTTTTGTGTAGTTTTACCCATAGAACGAGTTCAGATTATGCTGACAGGAACCCAAGCTTTCCTCTCCGTGGAGGAGAGCTGGTGCACCGCCGAGCTCACACGATGAGACAAACAACTCAGTCTCACATTTACAGCTCTTTGAGGATCCCCACTGCAAGCAAAGGCCAATTATATAAACTCACACCAAACTTCAAACCCAGAATCTTCCCTGCTTTGAGGCAACAGTGTCTTCATCCTGCTGTGAACTTATAGCTAACATCAAGAGTGTAAAAACAAGACAAAAACTCTCTTCAGCAAGAGATGAACCAGCTTCCTATTGCTTAAAATAAATCCCCAAAAAAAGCAGTAAGAGAAGGATCTGGATCTAAAGCAATCCAAGACATTGCACACGCCAATGACGAATACATAAACTAGGCAGTCGATGCAGGAAATGAAGCGCGTTTCCTTACCTAGTGCCATCTCCACGACGCTCATTTGGCTTTCTGAAGGGAAGAGGATTTTTGGCGGCTTGTCGGTCAGTGGAGCTGTTGAAACACACACACAAAAAAAACAAAACAGTGAGCATTAAATTGCTGCTTGTTCTCCTCGGTTAACTGTCAAAACGTGATTTTTTTTCCTTAAAGACAATCAGAACCGCGTTAATACGAGGGGAACGAACAAATCAAATAATTAAGGAGCGGACAGAGAAGGATCAAAGAATCTGCTTTGGTGCTGATGCAATTTACTGTTTCTGTAAACGATGGCACTGACTGAGAGTGAGAGAGCCTTCATCCGCCGCTATGAAAATAGAGATTAAACGTTATTGTTTAAGTTTTGACTTAACTGTAAAGTTTCACTAATGAATAAACAACAATAATAGAAATATCCTTATGCATGCTCAATAATCCAGGCAGAAAAATCCAACAAAGCTAAGTGAGGTCCTCTGGACGGTTGATTTTTGTTGAAACGTTTCGTCTTTCATCCAAAAGACTTCATCAGTCCGAGGAGCGATAACCAACTCAGTCTTAGAAATAGCGCCTTCACATAGTGGGTCAAGCAGTTTGATGGTGTTCTGATGGTTTCTGGAGTCTGTCCTCTCCCCCACCGACTCGTTTGAGGCAGACATGGTCAAAGTGGTTCAAAACATCCTGATTAATGCTCAGTAATCCAGTAATTTTCTTCCTGGATTACTGAACAACTAATTTCAACCAGGCAGCACAGTGGCGCAACTGGTAGAGCTACTGCCTCTCAGCGAGCAGGTCCTTGGTTCAAACCCCAGTCCAGGGGCCTTTCTGGGTGGAGTTTGCATGTTCTCTCCGTGCATGCGTGGGTTTTCTCCGGGTGCTCCGGTTTCCTCCCACAGTCCAAAAACATGCATGTTAGACTGATTGGTAACTCTAAATTGTCCCTAGGTGTGAGTGAGAGAGTGAATGGTTGTTTGTCTCGTTTGTCTCTATGTGGCCCTGTGATGGACTTGCGACCTGTCCAGGGTGTACCCCACCCCTCGCACAGTGATTGCTGGACATGGGCACCAGCGACCCCCCTGACCCAAAATGGAATAAGTGGGTAAAGATAATGGATGGATGGATAATTTCAACCACCTGTATCCGCAACCTCATTCTTTTGGTCACTACCCATAGCTCATGACCATATATGAGGGTAGGAACGTAGATCGACCGGTAAACAGACAGCTTTACCTTACAGCTCAGCTCCCTCTTCTCCACAATGGACTGGTACAGAATTCACAATACTACAGATGCTGCACCAGTTCGTCTGTCAATCTCACGCTCCATTCTTCCTTCAGTCATGAACAAATGCCTGAGATACTTGAATTCTTCCACTTGAGGCAGAACCTCACCCTCGACCTGAGAAGAGCAATGCACCCTTTTCCGATTGAGGACCATGGCCTCAGATTTGGAGGTGCCGATTCTTACCCCAGCCACTTCACACTCGGCTGTGAACCGCTCAAGTGCGAGCTGGAGATCATGGCGCGATGGCATCAACAGGACTACATCAACTGCAAAGAGCAGAGATGGAATCCTGATGCAACCGAACCGGACTCCCTCTGCCCCCTGGCTGCACCAAGAAATTCTGTCCATAGAATTTATCAACAGAATCGGTGATAACGAGCAGTCCTGGTGGAGTTCAACTCCAACCCTGGAGGGGTCCAACTTACTACCAGCAATGTGAGCCAAACTCTCACACTGCTTGTATAGGGACCACTTGCTACAGGCCCATAAAACAAAAACAAAAACAAAAAATTAAATATCTTCAACAAATCATATTAATTACTCATTGCCTTTACACATAACCCCACTTCAAAAAATCTGATCCCCTTAATACTTTAGGATTTGTGCTTAGGCCTGTCACAATAACAAATTTTGCTGGGCGATTAATTGTATCAGAAATTATCGTGATAAACGATAATATTGATTGAATTTTGACAATAATTGGTCATTATTGTCGAAATTAAGAAGAAATGTTTAATTTGTTTTGCGTGTAGTACTGTTTCTTGACCACTGGATGGCAGTACAAGATTGTTTGAACTGAAGGATGGATAGTGAGAGAGCGAGCAGCGTGTCTCTTTAAGAAAAATGGGAGGGAGGCCCCTTCACGTGACATGGGCTGTCTCTCTTCGGTTCGCAAAATGGCGGACGCTCGGTGTGGTTTGAGCTCTTTAGCATAGCATTTGTCACACAAAGCTTTTAATAAAAAAATCAGTAAACAAGTTCTCAGCTTCTTTTTGCAGAGAAAAACTTTTTACATGAAGGCACGGGTTTAACTGTGAATTTTGGAGCTTCGACCAGACAGAGGTTTTTTCCCCAAGGTCAGCCTGTTATCAATCAACCTTTATTTAGACAGGTAAATCCCATTGAGCCTCGAGAAGTCATTTACAAGAGAGACCTGATTTCAACAAAGAAAGATGACAACAATGGACAACAGCAACAACAATAAACAATTATAAAAAGTCATACTGCAGGTTTTTTTTTACATTTTTTTAATTTTTTTTTTCCATTTTTATTATTCATTCAACCTTTAGTCCCACTGAGCCATGAGGACTCATTTACAAGAGAGACCTGGATTTAAAAAAAATGCAGCATTTGCAGTAGAACTTGAAAATCCGACAGTTCTCCTGTTATTCTGTCAGACCCACCGGGACAAGGCATAATATGAAATAAAGAGATAATAATGAGAAATCCTCATCATCATCTTTCTAATGAAATATGGTTAGATGTGATGTAAGATGTGTCAAACAGGTCTCTTGTAAATGAGTCCTTGCGACTCAATGAGACTTACCTGTATAAATAAAGTTTGAATGAAAGACAGTTTTATTTCATTATTACGTAAAAAAAAAGAAGGCGTTTTTCTTCCTTTTAAGTCATTCTTATAAGTGTATTCTTTCTTTATCCGCAGAAGCTTTGTTGGTCGAGTTTTGGACCATTGCAGAACATTTCTTACAACTGCCTCCAGTAGCACCTGGAGGCAGAAAAGCACGATAAAATTGGAAGTTAGACCATTGATTGGCGAGGAGTTAAAACAGGAAAAAGAAAAATGTGTGGGGCAACAGAAAACTAACCCTGTGCTTCAGTGCCAGTGAAACACAACTGCACTCAATAAAGTAAGAAGAGTGCAGGTTTAAAAATATGTTTGGGCTAAAAATACTGGATACGTATTCTGCTCCGAGGTTTAGGAGAATGTTGAAGCGCATACGAGTAACAACATAAAACATGTTTCATGGAAAATGTCCTACTTTATCAGACTTAATGATACTTCCCTATTTAGCATAGAATAAAGTAGTTTTTTTTTAAATAGTTCAAAAGGTAAATGCGTTGAAACACGTCTCACTGGGAGGAATCCTCAGAGCAAACCAAACACTTGCTGGAGAGATTATATCACTGCTGGTCTAGGGGGAGATCCTCCCAGATGAGCTAACTGTGCAGAAGATGATCTGGGATTATTAGCTTCAGATAATTCTTAATCCTGGAAACATTGATACATACATGAAGAATAGGTGGTTTGTGGGTTGGATGGGTGTTTGCTTGGATGGATGATTGGCTAGTTGGTTGATTGATTAAATAGATTTGCTTGGTTGGATGGATATACTGATGATGGATTAAGAGATTCAATAAAAAGATGGTTATGTTTGAATGAATGGAGGGCTGGCTGGCTTAACAGATGGATGGATGGATGGATGGAACAATGTATGAAAACATGAATAGATGAATGGATGGATAGATACAGTAGGTGAATGAACTGATTGATGGATGATGTTTGGATGGACGTTTGGACGATGGATGGATGGATCACATGGACTGATGAATGGACGATGGAGCAAACGGATGGATGGATGAATGAAAAGATTGATGGATAAGTAGATGGTTGGATGGATGATGGATGAATGGACTGACAGATGGATGAGGGGGCAGACAGATAGGTGGATGGATGAAGGATGAATGGACAGATAAATAAGGGTTGGATGGATGGATGGATGGCTGAATGAATGAACAAATGGATGGATGATGGACAGATGAATGGATGAATGGGCAGACGGATGGATAAAAAGGTGGATGGTTGGATACATGGATTGATGATGGATGGATTGACAGATTAATGGATGGATGGCTGAATGAATGAACAAATGGATGGATGGATGGATGGATGATGAACAGATGGATGGATGAAGGAGCAGACAGATGGATGAATGAACTGATGAATGGACTCTTTGCCTTCCTTAAAGTCCTTTAAAATCCATTAGGACACAGGAAGTGTCCAGGTGTTAAGCATCGAAAGACAAAAATAAATCACTTCCTTTGAAAAAAAAGTCTGGTAGAGTCTAAAGATTTACCGGAGTTACCAGGAAACACCGTTACTTCAAACCTTAATGTCTCAATCAGTCATACAAGTGATGCCACAAAGACGCCAATCTTTATTTGACCACAGCCAAGAGACGCAGTAGATGATTGTTCTTCAACCCAGTTTGTTCTCATAAAATCCAGACGCTCTGCAAACACTTCAGTCATCTCGATCAATAAACTAAAACACCGTCCAATTAATCTGGTTGAATTCCAGTTTCTCTTTCATCATTCCTGAACTTGTTTTTAACTTTTCAATTTAATCTGAGCAGACGCTGCTTCTCGTTGTTTTAAGGAACAGTCACGCCCGAAGAGATGAAGCTTCTTTCCATTTCTAGTATTGAGACAGGATTTGATTTGCAGGTTGCACTTGGTGAGTTGAAATCCCAACAATGGACGGTAATCAGGGGTCACTGGTGCCCCGGCCAGGATTCGACCTGGCGACCTTCTCGCTGAGAGGTGGCAGTTCAACCAACTGCTCAACCATGTTACCCAGCAAGTATGATTTAAATTTAAAATTTAAACCAAAGGTAATAATCTGACCATGACCAGTCAAGACCTGTACAGGGTGTACCCCGCCCCTTCCACAGTGAAGGCTGGACATGGACACCAGTGACCACCGCAACACGAAAAGGAAGAAGCGGGTAAAGACAATGGATGCATGGACTAAAGATAACAAAGTAGGCGAATAT